GAAGTTACCATCTGTGAGCCCAGATAATTATAACCTTCTCAGGCAGGGGTCTTGGAATCACTTATACTGCGTTAACAGTGACCCCCCAAAAAAACTTTGGGAGACAAAGCATGCTTAGATTTCTGTTCCTTGTCTAACTTTTTCCTTCTTTTTGTGACCTAAATAACTATCTCAAGCCTCTGGAATTCCAGAGTGAAGAAAAGAAATCATGCTCATCTCTTTGTTATGTGAGATTGTGTGTCTTGGTACAGCACCCAGCACTTAAGGACAATAACTGTTAGCCATTCGTAACCATCATTATTACCATCACGTTATTAGCTGATGAATAGCACAAACTGTGATATGATGCCAAACAGCAACTGATGTGGACTAAATTTTAATTGACTTAATCCTTCCAAATGCTAACAAACTACCAGCCTCAGCCACTTAAAAGTCCCATATCTAAGGCAATAATCCTATCTACAGTGAGTGTGGAATAATTGATTATAGGCCAGGGATTTTTGCAAAGTGAATTAAGTTACTACAAAAACTGACCATGTTGTTTCCACAATTAAAAGTCTAGGAGAATGAAATGTCATTATTCCATAGCTTGCTAAGCCTTAAAGAAGAAATTACAACTCTCATGGCTGTACTGGGAATGTTTTCATAAACTCCTACAATGTTTCAGAAATTCTTTCATGATAAATGCTGTAGGACGTTTTCATTACTGATATTTTCAATTAACTACTCCTCTGTCTACAATACTTCCAAAATGAGAAACTCTAATGAAGCTTTTAGAAAATAACCATGTGTTCTTAGAAGGAGATTTCAACTAGAATTCCTCCATAATTAATGAATACTTAAAATGCAATCTCTACTTTTTCTATTTATAAAGTGTTTATGACGGCTTTGGGGGGACCTTTTACATAGGGTTATTTTCCATACCCCTCTTTTGGAGCCAGCAAAATACAGAAATATGTATTTATATCTCCCCAAGTCTAGACTTCCCTGGGCTCTGGCTATTTAGAGTCCACGTTTGGTGTTTTTAACCCCTAGGACACATTCCTTTCTTTCATCTCTGTGATTCCTGGCTTCCCTTCTCAGGGTATCTGGCTAATCTTCCTGATATTTCTGGGGCATAAATGGGCTCAGAATATTTGACTGCAAAAGGAACATAGTTCTGGATCTTCTCTATATAAAAGAAGATTTTCTTTTATTGATATAGAAATGAACAGATGCCTGATAACCTTTTGCCAACCTGAAACATTTCTTTGTACTTCATGGAATTTCTTTGGACTGATGTTTTGCAGAACTTACACAGTCCTTTCAAAAGTTCTATCACCCAAAAATAGAATGATCTGAGCTAATTCAAAAATAAGAGACTCATCCCCTGGCCTCTTCTGGCTTGGTGTCTTAACCATTGTCATCTAGAAAGCAGAAAAGACACTCTCACCACTGGACATGAAATAATCTTATATTTACACAATGTAACACTGTAGTGGGTAAAAGGACTGTCCTCACTTAGAAACCCAACACTTAACACATCCATCCACATTCTTTTGTTTTATCTGACCACTACCACTTACCAGCACTAGAAGAGAAATGATATAAACCGAGTATGCCCTTTTTACTGACTAAGGTAATAAAAGTCAGTCCAAATGTTTTACAATCTGCCAACAGGCACAAATCTCTCCTTACCCAGGTAAGTTGCTATTGGAAAGATGAATTCAGAGAATCATTAAGCTCACACTTGTCATTTCAACATTGCAGAATCTTGAAATAGCCAACAACAAACTGTCTTATGATCAAATCTTCCTCCATTTTCCATTTCTTTCCAGAAAACTCAAATTCCATCCATAGGAACTCAAATCCATTATCATCCTCCTCTCTGTGCTCTATCCAGATCTGGGTCTCCTATCATCACCATTTCCAGTCTCAGCACCATCACCACCAACCTTGCTACCCAGTAACATCCAAGTCATGTCACCTTCTATTATAAAACCCTGTCATCCATGGGGCCACATAATTCCTAAGAGTGCTCAGAGTAGAGCAGTAACTCTCACATCACCATAGCCAGTCAATAATTTGAGGGACCAACCAGATACCCTGCAGGGATCTTCCATAACCTCATCTTCTCTCCTTACCCAACTGTCCCAAAGATAAAACTAGGGGATCAGGGCTCGCTACCTACAAATGGACATAGTGTGAGAATTAATATGGCAGTGTGATATTTGGGAAATATACTAATGAAATTAGAACTTGAAAGTTGCTAAATTTTTTAGGAAATAAATTCTATAACATGAATCTAACAAAATCTTTTCTAATTAATAAATATCAACCCGTACAGTTTTCACTGAAGAATAGAAGTGCTTTTTGAGCTTTACCTTGGATAATTCTTATGACATTCTAACAGTTTGAATCTTTTTTTATTAAAAATTTAATGGGAAAGTTAAAAAATAGAGAGGAAAACTGATTTATTGAATGTCACAAAATAAACCAGTGGTGGAGAAAGAACCAAAGCCAAACCCATCCTAAAATAATAGGGTTCCTGGGTATACTATTCTGCCTTTGATGTTTAACTGCTTACCTATGAGACTTGTAATGCTACCTAGTAGAATTTAATACTCTATTCAGGAATATATTCCCCAAATATAGTTAAGCATCTTATGCAAATTACAAAGATGATTTTTACTAATTATTCCTCAAAAACATATCGTTATCTTCCAGCCTCTAACTCTCCAGGGTGAATTACTTGCTGGAGTTACAATGACATCTCTTTGTTCTAATGAAACTTAACTCCTTTGGTGCCTGAGGGCTTCAGAGGTCCACAGTTTGCTCATAAATCCTGCCCATGAGGATTTATGGCCCACCATTCATGGTTCCCAGAACATGGCAATTGTTTGATTAAAATGTTATGAATAGCCACAAGAGGTGGCACACGCCTGTAATCCCAGCTGCTGTGGAGGCTGAGGCAGGAGGATCACAAGTTCAAAGCCAGCCTCAGCAAAAGCGAGGTGCTAAGCAACTCAGTGAGACCCCTATCTCTAAATAAAATACAAAATAGGACTGGGGATGTGGCTCAGTGGTGGAGTTGAATCCCCAGTAACCTAAAAAAAAGTTGCGAACATTAAAAGGTATAATGGAAATTGGACCTAATGAGAGAGTAGAAATACTTAAACACACACACACACCTAAAATTATTATTCCTAGAGACATACAAAAGATTGGTAGTTAAAATTGAGGCCCCATATCTCATTACTAATCCTGAGCTTAACCCAAAGCACCCTCATTCCTGGCTACATCCCTTGTACCTAATGTCATGCTTCACTGAGCTGCTTCACATCTAAAACTCAGGCAACTATGGTTGTGTGTAATAGTCATGTGTGCACTCAGAGTGATCCTGATGACTATCCCTGTGATGGCAGCTCTTCCCTAGATCACTGGAGTCAGTGTAGAGCACTGAGGTTCAGCCCATCCAATGCTGCTTCCGGAGCTATCACCTCGCTCTGACAATATTATCAGTTTCCCAACATCAATAAAGTTGGCAAATATATTGAGCTATCTCTTTTAACACTGAATGACATTTCCAAGAAGATTCATCAAAAACAAAAATCCAGTTTGTCACATGACCTCACAAATCATACTGGATGCATTAAATTTCAACGTTTGTTTCTTCTACCTGTAAGTTTTCCTTCCCCTCTTCCATTTTTACGAAAAGAATATGTTTTGATTTACTTTTGCACCTGAAGAGCACTCAAACAACAATACAAAGAATTTATTATAAGAATGGGTTCTCTAGAATATTCTAAAATAATTTGGTAGGCTGCAACTTATTAAGATTGCCAAATATCAGATGCTATATATCTGCAACAACCAAGACCAAGGTTCTTTAAATTTTTATCAGATGGTCTAGTCCCATTATACAACCTCACAGAATCCCACACTCCCTCCTTCCTAGCACTCAACACAAGTGAATAAATAAATTATGAATTGCAACTTGTAGTTAATGTCTGTATCCTCTATTAGAATACAATCTCTATGTAGACAAGGACTGTATGTTTCTGTCATTTTCTCTGCTGTACCTGACACTTTGCTTTGAATGGGAAAGGAAATCAATGAATACTGGCAAATGATCATAAGAGCAAACAAATCTGTGAGTGAAGAAATGGTGTTATATTGGAGGGTCTAGCAATGCAAGGGTGAAATAAGTTTTCAGACTCCCTGGGATTTATTCTTAGAGTGTCCTGGAAGATTTATTAACAACCTATAAAAATGGCAAACTTACAACAATCCATGAGTTAATTATTCTTGAGAAAGGTTATGGATTCAGAAGACCAATTCTGGTGGTGAATTTTCCATATTTTGAATTGTATAACAGTCTGTGGGGATTTGTTTAATTTAACCCTTGTATATAAAAACATCAAAGTGTGTGTTTGGGTAAACAGATGAGGCAAGCAGATGCAGTTATTCCTAAACTCCACTACTCGAAATCACAATATTTCATTTCATGGAAACATAAACCAGAAAATGTCATTGAACGGTGACAGAAACCTCCACAGCAACCCACTGTTTTCTTGATATTTCTCTCTAACCACTGATAAAAACTCTTTGAAGTGGTAGAGTAAATATTATCATTTGATAGTACTTGGACCCAACAGTGCAAATACAATTGCATTGTGTTACACTCTGGGGGCTCCCCTGCAGGTCACACAACGCGGCAGGGTTGCTATGGAAGAACCAATGCGCGTTAGCGCAATAGCAGGCCAGGATGTGGTACTGCTCTTATGAGCTATCCACCTCTTCTTAATCTTCCTCAGATACACACACACAGAGAAAAAGTGCTGGCCTTTGAATGTGTTTCTGTTTCTGTAATCCTGGGGAGGAAGAACCACAAATATGCGATGGGAAACGACAACACCCAAATATCAGCTTGCTGTTACTGCTCCCATTGACATTCTTGTAAAGGATCCCATGTGGGGGTGGGGAGAAAGATTTCATAAGCAGTCTGGAGTCCCGAGTGGCGGCACAGCCAGACAAACCACCTGGGGCATCCACCTGGGGCATCCCGGATGGGCTGTGAGGCCTGAAGCTGCGGGTGCGCCAACACACTCGGGAGCTAGTTCCCCTGTCCCATGGGGCCTAGGTAAGGGTCCTCCCCAGGGCCGCCATCTGCGTCCCCTAGGGTGTGAAGCAGCCCCCAGAACCGCCAAGGCCCCTCCGGCGGCGGCGCTGCTCACGTTCTCTATGGGTCGGGCAGCTACGCCCAGCAATCGTTCCCCTGGCCGCTGCCCTCCCGGCATCTCCCCCGCCCTGGGTCGCCCTCCCGGCTGTCCTGTCGCGCCGCTCACCTTGCCCGGGAAGGGCCCCGGGAGGAGCAGCTTGAGAGCCTGCCTCTTCAGCTCCACCAGGCGGGCGTTGCAGTTCTCGCACCAGACGCCGCGGTCCGAGCCGGGGGAGGAGCCGCCGCCGCTGCCAGAGCCCGGGGAGCCGGTGCCGAAGCCCGGCGAGCCGCCCAGGGAGCCCGGCGAGCTGGTGCCGATGCCCGGAGAGGCGGGACCCGGGGATCCGGTGAAGGAGCTCGGGGACGAGGTGCCCGAGCCGGGGGACGGGGTCCCCGACGAGCCCAGCGCCGAGCCTGCGCCCTCGGGGGTAGGCCGGCTCCCAGCGCGCGATTCCTCGTACGCTTTCCTGTACCAGCTCTCAGGGGAGAAGGGAGCCGCCGGCTTGGTGGGCGAGCAGACCTCATTCACCTGCAGGGGGAGACACGCGGGTGTCAGGGGCCGCGAGGCGGCGGACTCCCGCTCTCTGGAGCTGGGCGGGCCTGGGGGCGCCGTTCTGCCCGCCCGCCGGGGTATCCGCATGCCACCGAGCGCCTGGCCGAAAGCCCACGGGCTCCGGTTCCCGGCTGCTGCTAGCCCTGCAGCTAAGTTGCCCTCCTTCTATCTCGTTAATTGTCCTAAGGTGATACCCCGCCTTCCGAGTGACCCCTGCTCCGGTTTCTGGGTGCCTCAGGTCAGGAGAAGGGTTTACTTGAGGGGTTTTCAACGGTTTCTGCAGGGGGTACCCACTGATTCAGCGCCCCGTGCTTTTGGACCTGGCACCCACCCCAGCAAGAACCCAGTTACAAGATCCTAGAAGACCCTATTCTGAGGGCCCTGTGACTTATGGGATTTTATTCATTCAGGGAACAGCCCACCGGATCCTGCCGGTAAAATGAAAGGATCTCCCGGATCCCGGGAAACGATCCGTGCAACCAAAGGCAGAGATTTCATGGGAAACATTCCTTACGGCTTAACTCTGCCTAGAAGTCCAGGAATACCGCAAAAGTTATGGATCCGGAGAAAAGAAAAGATTAAACCGACTGAAAAAAATCCGAGAGCGAGGCGAGTGTGCGGGTGTCCTCGCAACAGACCCGCCTCCGCGCACGCACAGCGGAGGTGTCCCTGCAGCGGGAGGAGAGCTCGGATCCGCGCGCTGGCCACCGGCTCCTGGGGGTAGCTCTGCCGGAGCCACCCGTTCCCGAGAAAGAAGGACCCCGGCCGAGATGGGTCTGGTAACGCGTCTCGGTGTTGAACCCGTGACAACTTACCCCGTATTTCTTGCCCCGGTTGGAGACCGCAAGCCTCTCTTTATTCCCAGCTACCGAATTCATGGTGGCTTTTCCCGAGGAGAGTCTAAATGTTCCAATAATGTTACATCCAAAAGATCTGCCAACCAGAAGCGTTCCCCAATTGTAAGAGGTTGTCTCTTGACCCTCAAATCAAGATTTCTTAATTGTGGGTTAGAAAGAATAAAAGCAAATGGACCCCAGAAGTAATTGCACCAATTTGCAGAAAACGTTGGAGTGGCTGGCTTATTCTTCTCTTCAAATAACGCTTTTCCTCATCCTCTTCTGCCTCCTCCAGTCACACGTTCTCTTTTCATGGTCACATCCACATCATTGGCATTTTCCTCAGTCAAGTAAGTCCTCAGTTCTCCACCAGGGAAAAGAGGAATAGGATCGGGACGCACGGCCGCTGCGGGGAAGGTGGGCGAGCCCTCGCGCTGCCTCGCCTGGGTCGGCGCGCGGACCCCGTCTACCGAGCCGGCTGTGGGAACTTGCCTCCTTCACCGAGCTTGCTAACTGAGTTCAAAGAAATTCTCCCAAAATATAAAGATCCAGACTCGGGGAGGAGCCTCGGCGTGTCGCCGAGCCAATATGCGCGGGCCCGTTTCGCCTGACAGTTGCGAGAGGACAGGGAGAGGGGCGGCTCTGCTTGGCCAGGAGAGCCGTCCGCGATCAGGACGCGCGTGTGCGCCCGGGCGAAGCGCGGAACCTCGGGAACCGCGGCCCCGCCGCCCCGGAACCCGCCGCCTGGCTGCCGCCGCCGCCGCAGCGCCGACCGGGATCCATTTTATGGTGCGGCGCTCCTGCCTGACATTGCGAGGCCGAGGGCCCGGGCGGGGGGTGGGGTCGTAAATCTCGCTCCTGGCAGGGAAGTTACTGGCGAGTGGCCCGTGTCCGGGGCTCTAATGAAACACCGCTGCGCGAGCCTGGAGCTGAGCAGAAGCGCTGAGCGAGCGTGGCTGGACGGAAATGCTGCGCCTGAGCCTCCCCCGCCCCCAAGTTCTTTCTCTTCCTGGCAAGGCTTGCAGGTCTGCCTTTGAAACGCCGGGTAAAACGGCTTGAGTCACAAACAAGTCCGCAAACATGCCGGGTCCTCCCCCCGCCCTTTGTTCTCCAAGACCTGCCCAGCAAACCTTTTCTAGAATTGCCCTACCACCCCGGGGCCAGCCAGGGGGCCTCCCTCCGGAACCACAGCCAGAGGACTGGGGACCTTCGGCCCCCGCCCGCCCGCTGCACCCTAATCTGTGAAGTACTAAACCGGCCCAGGGCTGGGACAGGTGAGCCGAGGACCTAGCGGGGCGCTGGCGAGCGGGGGAAACTGAGGGATTCGCCGTGCTGCCCACGAGCACCCGGACCGCGCGGGCCTGAAGAGGGGGCGTGGCGCGAAGTGGCCTTGGCCTCTCCTTGCCCGGGGTCGGTCCCCTCTCCCCACGTCCACGCTTTTCTTCCCGCATTCGGGATCTATGGGGTCTCCAGAGCACCCAGTCATCACCCCCTCCCCTATAACCTCCCCCCCCACCCGCCCCTCGCGCAGCGCCCAGAGGCGCAGGAAGCCGGCATACGCCAGGCTCCACACGTGGCTGCTCCGGGGTGTCATTTTTCATTTCTCTGGAGGACATTTCTTCTGGTGAGCCGGCAGGTCTATTTTATTGTGACCTTTAATTAACACCCCGCGAGACACCTCCAGAAGGACCAGCCCAGCGCGGGGATCACGTGAGGTGTAATGGCATCTCCAAGCCCCCAGGAGAGACCGGGTCTAGGGGTAGGCGAGGGAGCAAAGGACTTCTAGGGCTTTCCAGTCGGGGGCTTCGTTCTGAGATATGGGTGAGGCAGGAGGGGACAGGAAGAGAATAATTAGGGGTACTGGAACTCTGGGCAACGCCCCCCACCCCACGTTCCTGGGGAGGGGGAATCTTTCTTGGCCTCTCTGGCGCTTGCCATCCCCCGGGCTGCAGCCTTTGCCTGGGAATATTTCACAGCTACCAAGGCGAGGTATGAAGGCCAAAATAAAGATGTTGAGAACAGTGTGGAAGTTTCCATTACGTTCCCACTAACAATTTAAAAGCGATCATATCAGTAGAGGACCTTAGGGGGATAGGTACGCCTCCAGGCAGCACACGCCAGCTCCAGCCGAATCTGTATTCCGTAAAGGTGCAGCGGAAAATATCGTCGCCATTAGCTACGCGCTGCTTATCAGCCGGAAAGCAGCGTGTGGCCAGGTGAATGGACGAGCCCGTGAAGACGCGGGTGGGAAGGTCGGGTGTCGAGGGGGAGCAACTGGGGAGCTGCGCGATCCACCTTGGAGACTGATGAGCCCATAGCTTATCTGATTTGCATCCCAAAGTATCTGGGGCCCCAGATTGTGTTTGATGGGCTCGGAGCGCCCTCTGTTGATAAAAGTCTATAACTGGAGGCCCCTCAAGTGATTTGAAGCGTTTAAAAATGTACATTCAGTGAAATGCAAAAATTTTAAACGCACAATTCTGTGCGTTTTTATAAATGTATGCTCGTTTTTATAAATTTTATACTCTTGTATAATCCACTACCCCAATTAAGATATCAATTTCCATCACTCCAGAAAGTTCTTTCCTGCCTCTTTAGGCAGGCAGTCGGTCCCCACCCCTCGTAAGAAACCACTGTTCTGATGTCTATCACCATAGATTAATTTTGACTGATCTCGAATATTTTTGTACATAGAACTCTTTTGTGTTTGGCTTAGCATAGGTTTTCTTCATTCCATGTTGCCTTTTATGGGTCTGTTTTCCATTATTCTGTTTCTCATTCCTCCATCTTTCCCACCCTCTCTTATTAATTGAATAATTTTTAGTATTCCAATATCATTCCTCTATTAGGTTTTTAGTTCTAATTATTACAATATGCATCTTTAACTTATTACAGGATAATTAGTGTTAATATTGTACCACTTCACCTAAAATATAAGTTTGCAACAGTTCAATTCCGTTTTCTCTCTCACCTTTAGGTTAATATTTGAATATACTTTATGTGTATATACATTATAAGATGCTGTTTTAGCTAGCTTTTTTGATGCTGAGACCAAAATACCTAACAGGAACAACATAAAGAAGGGAAAGTTTATTTGGTGATGGGTCACAGTTTCAGATGTCTCAGACTATAGATGGCCAACTCCATAGCTCTGGCCCAAGGTGGACAAAGGGCATGGCAGAGGAAATCAGCTCAGGACATTGTAATCAGGAAGCACAGAGAGAGGGCTTTGCTCACCAAGAACAAAATATAAACCCCAAAGCCATGCCCCAGTGACCTACCTCTGCCAGCCACACCCCACTTGCCTACAGTTACCTCCCAGTTAATCCATATAGTGGATCAATCCCCTGATTAAGTTACAACTTTAATACTCTAACCATTCACTACTAAATGTTCTTGCATTGGCTCATACATGAGCTTTTGGGGGGACACCTCATATCTAAACCATAACAGACCCACGATACAATTTTATCAATTTTACTTTAAACAAACTGTTGTCTTTCCATGAAACTAGAAAAAATTCAGTGTTTTGTATATACCCAGTTTTTTATAATTTTTTTTAGTTGTAGATGGACACAATACCTTTATTTGATTTATTTATTCATTTTTATGTGATGCTGAGAATTGAATCCAGGGCCTCGAAAGTGCTAGGTGAGTGCTCTACCACTGAGCCACAACCCCAGGCCCTATACCCAGTTTTAACATTTCTGAGACTGTTCATTTTTTTCCTATAGTGCCAAATGTCCAACTAGATTGTTTCCTGAAGAACTGCCTGAAGAAGTTCACATAGCATTTTTTTATAGTGAGGGTTTCTTGGCAATATATCCTTTCAGATTCTGCTTATCTGAAAATGTCTTTATTTCACTTTTGGATTTGAGGAATGGTTTAATTAGATGTAGGATTCTTGGTTGGCAGTTATTTTTCTGCCAGCCCTTTAAGAATGTCATTCATTGTCATTCCATGCTTCTGATTAAAGGTAAGCAGTAATTCTTATGGACATTCCCATGCATGTATTGCATCCTTTTTTTCCCCCCTCTGGGTGCCTTGAAGATTTTCTCTTTATCTTTGGTTTTCAGAAATTTGACTGATGTTTTGGGTATGATTTTCTACATTTATCCTGCTTAGGGTCTGCTGAATTTCTAGGACCTATAAGTTGATTGGTAAGTTTTTTATCAAATTTGAGCAATTTACAGTCATTGTTCAAATACCTTTTCTGCCCTATTTTATCTCTGTTTGGGACTTTCGTAAATATGTATATTATTATGCTGTTTGATATTATCCCACGGGTTACTGAAGTTCTGTTCATTATTTGCATTTTTATCCTTGTATTCTACATGTTGAATAACTTACATTGTCCTTCATTAAATTCACCAATTCTTACTTCTTCTATTATGCCTATCCAGTGAATTTTTCATTTCAGATTGTGTGTGTATGTGTGTGTGTGTGTGTGTGTGTGTGCGCGCGCGGACACACATAGGAAAAAGAGAAAGATATTTCCATTTCACTTGTTCTTTTCCTTTAACTCTTTGAACAAAGTTATAATAGCAGCTTTAAAGTTCTTTTCTTTCTTTCTTTCTTTCTTTTTTTTTTCCAGTGCTAGGGATAAAACCCAGGACCAAGTGCACTACCACTGAACTACATCCCTGGCCCTAATTCTAATGCTTGTCTGAATCCAACATTTGACTCATTTGGGAAATCACTTTCAATTAAATGATTTTTCTCTTTGACTCTGAATCACATTTTCCTGTGGTTTTTTTTTTTTTCATAGCCAATAAACTTTAACTGTATACTGAATATTGTGGATACTACATTGTAGAAATATTATATTCTGTTTGTCTTCATTGAAGAGTACTGATTTTTAGTCCAGCAGGCAGGTAAGTTACCAGTGGATCACCTTGAACTTGGAGAGGCTTGACTTTTTACCTCTAATGATTATAATATGCATCTTTAATTTGTCACAGGCTGCTTAGAGTTAACATTTTGCCACTTCACCTAAAATGTGAACTTGCAACAATACAATTCCATTTACCCCCTGCTTTGTTAGAGGGGTTCTATTTAGTTTTTGCCCTTAGCTGCAAGGAAAATTCCTAGTCCTGGGACTTGTTATTTACCCAAAGGTGTGGCCCTCTGGTGTTTCAAGGGAAAGTCCAACAGGTTTGCCAAGTCCTGAACCTGGGACTCCACGTTCTGCTCCCCTGCAGTAGGCAGCACTTAAATCTCTGCTCAC